GAAAATAAAACAATTAGATGACAAATGAAATAGCTAAAAGGTAAAAAAAAAAAAAAGATTAAGATTAAGATTAAGAAAAGTCTATTTTCATGCCAATAACAGGTTAAACTGAATAAAATATAGATTTTTTAATCACTGATGTCACATGGACTGTTCCACCAATGTCCTAACGTTACCTTTCTGGCCTGGCAATATTTCAGTTACATTGCTGTCTATGCAGGGGCAGAAAGCCTTCGGATTTTAATCAAAAATATCTTAATTTGAGTGATGAGCGAACGTGTTACGGGTTTGGAACGACATGAGGGTGAGTAATTAATGACAGAATTAAATTTTTTTGGTGAACTATCCCTTTAATGGAGAGTTTCACTGGTTGGCAGACCACCTTATGTTCGTAGATTTGTGTTGGATGTTTCGATGTGGACAGCACATTAAAGTGATTATTACGTCTTGAATATGGATATTTTTCTTACAAAAACGCATCGATTCGCTACAGGAGGCCTTTGTTCACCCCCCGGAGCCATGTGAGTCTCTTTTTTTTTATGGATGGGCGCTTTTTATTTCACTTCTTTGGGACTGATGCACTGAAACACCCGCAGACTGCAATGATAGAGCTTGGAATAGCCAGGGCAATTTTTAATTTAACTCAGACTGGATTCGTCTGAAAGAAGAAAGTCATATACACCTAGGATGCCTCGGGGGTGAGTAAAACACAGCCTAATTTTCATTTTTGGGTGAACTAACATAAAACAATTAGATGACAAATGAAATAGCTAAAAGGTAAAAAAAAAAAAAAGATTAAGATTAAGATTAAGAAAAGTCTATTTTCATGCCAATAACAGGTTAAACTGAATAAAATATAGATTTTTTAATCACTGATGTCACATGGACTGTTTCACCAATGTCCTAACGTTACCTTTCTGGGCCTGGCAATATTTCAGTTACATTGCTGTCTATGCAGGGGCAGAAAGCCTTCGGATTTGATCAAAAATATCTTAATTTGAGTGATGAGCGAACGTGTTACGGGTTTGGAACGACATGAGGGTGAGTAATTAATGACAGAATTAAATTTTTTTGGTGAACTATCCCTTTAATGGAGAGTTTCACTGGTTGGCAGACCACCTTATGTTCGTAGATTTGTGTTGGATGTTTCGATGTGGACAGCACATTAAAGTGATTATTACGTCTTGAATATGGATATTTTTCTTACAAAAACGCATCGATTCGCTACAGGAGGCCTTTGTTCACCCCCCGGAGCCATGTGAGTCTCTTTTTTTTTATGGATGGGCGCTTTTTATTTCACTTCTTTGGGACTGATGCACTGAAACACCCGCAGACTGCAATGATAGAGCTTGGAATAGCCAGGACAATTTTTAACAAATTTTATAACTCTGACTGGATTCGTCTGAAAGAAGAAAGTCATATGCACCTAGGATGACTTGAGGGTGAGTAATTTATGGGCTAATTTTCATTTTTGGGTGAAC